GCAGTGAAAATTATGAAACGGAATTGAGGCTATGGGGATGAAGGTTAGAGTTTAATTAAAACAGCTTGTAGATTAGATGCACCAAGTCTTATGATGGACACACACAAGTAATGATTTAGTCATCATTTCTTTCCCTGCGGTTTCTAACGTTGGTATTCCTTGTAAGTCTGCTCAATTTATAAAATTAAATGCGCAGAGCAAGGAACAGCACAGTTTGGCAAACTTTCCCCAATTAGCATTCCGTCTTGTGGTGTTTAGCAAAAATAACATCTATTCTGCTTCCTCTCCATTGAGTGGGTAGAGTACTGTAAATGTGAGCTGATCCACACTGCTGAGGGTGTGCTATCCACAGCAATGAGAGGTCTTGTTCAGCACTTGTTCCAAGGTTGCTGTGGTTAGATTAATTACCAAAACCACTGGGCTGTTAAGTCATTAATTGTTTTCTATAACAGAGTGATGAAAAGCAATAAAACGATTTGCTGGATTGTAGAGAAACAGACATGTGCTTGTGTTTCTCTTTCTTCTGCTCTTTTTCAGAACAGAATGTTTGCAAATACGTCTGTAATAGGTGCCAAAATAGACAGTTGCATTTTTCTCAATTTCACATTTTCTGCACTAATAAAAATTGCAGGTCTATTAATTTATGTTGTGTCAATTATGTTGGTCTAACAGCATACTAACAATGCACAAGACGCTGCACTCATTTACTGTTGTTCGAGGAATTTCCAAATCCAGCCATTTCACTAGAAATCCATGCAATCTGGAATTTTGCAAGAGAGAGCGAAAGATTTCCCCACACAGATTTCACAACATTTTCAAGTTGGACATGCAGATTTGCTACAGTATTTACAATAGACAATGGGATTTTTTGCCAAAATCTTGCCGAAAATGTGACTGCACCTTAAGACATGGAAACAGCATGCCAGCAATGTGCTAAAACATGCTAGCAACATGTTGAAACTTGCAAAACATGCTAGCAACATGCTAGGACTGTGTTAAAACATGCTAGGAACATGTTAGCAACAATCTTAAAACATGATATAGAATTTACATTTACGTTTAGTCATTTATCAGATGCTTTTATCCAAAGCGACTTACAAATGAGGACAATGGAAGCAACAAAATCAACAAAAGAGCAATGATGATTGTCTTCAGAAACATTTTTTGTTATGCTGGTTGAAAGTCTCTTCACATCCGGATAGCAATCATTAAGTTAAGTGGTCTAAATGTATTTATCTGTATTTATATATTCTGTGGAAGGGGTAGGACCAAGAAATGTTCGTCCAATCAAACCGCTCGGTCCGAGTGTTTTAATTGGCTTTCCTACCTGCCTGTCAACATATGTATTTGCATGCCTCTGTGCACCCTGTTCGCGCAGACAGGATACGTCATCAGCGCGTTCACGCTCGCTGTGCAGACAGAGCGAGAATGGCAGACAAACATCAACAACCCAATCTTCCATCCTGGTATAGTAGTACTTTTAAAGTTTTCTCACCGTGAATGACACATGATGTAGCCCAGCGGTTCCCAATTCCAGTCCTCGTGCCCCCCGCTCTGCTTATTTTGCATGTCTTGCTTAGTTAACACACCCGATTCAAAATCCAGTTTGTTAGAAGTGAGCTACGTGCATGAACTAAAATATTACTATTTTTGGTATGACACGTTTAAATAAGATCAGAACATAAAGTTGACCAAAGGACAGAGAATGGTCTCAAAAATTGAAAGAAACATCTCTAAATAGAGGAGTATAGGAGAGAAAAGGAGAGGACAATGATCATATCAGTTGTCCATCTGACAGCATCTTTTGTGCATCAGTTATGTGTGCAGGATGTGTGTGTCAATGTGATGACAGGCTCAGAAATGAACTCTGAGCTTTAGAGTGGCCTCATCGGTGAATAATTGCCCTATAATGGCTGGTCTTCCATCTTCCATGAGAGAAGCTATAGGGATCAATAGCCAGAAAGCAGCAGACAGGAGGCAGGCATGGTCTTGGTGAAGAAGCTGTTATCTTCCTTGAACCTTGCTCTTAACAATCAGCATTATCTATTGCGCTGTATAAGGATTTTTGATCTTAACCTATTTGCCTTAAGTTTGACTGTGTCTCAAAACTTCTATACACAATTAAAAAAGAATTCAGAAACGTTTTAGAGAAAAATTATTGCATGTCGCACCACAGAGATGTCAAGTCAACTACACTTGAAAACTATACTACACACAAAAAGTAAGAACATCACAGAATATCTTGCTGTATGACCACATGATCAGATAAACTGTGAAATTAAATACTGGATGCATTTATAAATAGTCCTTCCCACAGTGGCTCTCACATGCAACAAATACCAGAGCTGAGGTCAGAAAACAACTCTGCATGTCATACTGAACGGCTCTTTTTGTCATATTTTAAGAATGTAACAAATTTGTGAACTGTTATGCATCATGTTGGCACATTAGCACATAGGGTAAGATACAAATAGCCTATGGCAAGCGGAATTATTTTTGAATATTTAAATGTACTAGTATGTATTTTCATGTACTTACTTTTTTAGACACTAGTATCTATTCGATTAGGTACTAGTACTAATTCATAGCTACTAGTGCTTATTCATTAGCTAGTGCTTATTCTTTAGGTACTAGTATCCTTTTTGAAAATACTAGTATTTATTCCATACAGACAGAAATTGTCTACTGGGAAAATAAATGCAAATATATGTCAACTGTTTTGTTAATCAATGCTCTGTAGATTAGACTAAAACTCAATTATTCAGATATTTCATGTATTGCCATATGTTCTAGCAACTATTTGGGAGCATAACACTTTATTATAATGAAAACATATTTGTGTCAGTAATGTACATAATGTTTTTATGTTGTTCATTGTACAAGTGACCTCTGGTGGCAGGATGATGGCACTATGCT